TACTTAGATTTTGTTAAACCTGAGATCATTAGTTAGTAATTATAATTTCAACAAGCTAGAAAGGATGGTGAGATCAAAAAAGTGTCGGAGCATTCACTTTTTTTAGTCTCACTCTTAGAGATGATATTAACACGGGCCTTAAGGTCCATGATATCCAGACTTTAATTGCATGCCAATTAAAGTCCGTGATGATATTCATTATCCTGAAACTTCTAGATCTTCCCTTAGAGATACAGGTAGAGGTGTCATCGATAAGGATGTTTGTATCGATATATCGGTAATGAATTATCGGCGATACAGCGATATATATATGTCAGGCTAAATTTTAGCTTTCAAATCTTTTTAAAAGTTTCCTAAGGACACTGACAAAGCAGTCATATTTAGACAAACGCAAAAAAGATAAACTATGAAAACTGAACAATTTGTTTCTTTTTTTATCATATAGCTATAAATTAAAACTAATGACTAGTAACTTATTGGCGACGCCGGTGAGCGGCGTCGTCTATTATGGAATGCTTTTTATTTTTGCCTATGGAAGGAGCTGTTATTATTAGCAGTTAATTTCATGTTGTGTTAATTAGTTTTATTTTGATTCGTAAAAAATCAAGTCAACAAATGTGTTGTAATATTTGTATTTAATAACTTTATGTAAAAAAACATGTGCATTGCGATATTATTTTCACGAAATTGCAGGTTAAGTTTAACAGCTTGTCCCTTAGTTTTATTGACAATACTAAAACCCGGATTTCGAATATCGTTGTGGTCTAGATTGAGGCCGTATCAGTTCATTTATTCATTTATACATTTTCAAAATTTTCGTACAAGAAGAAAGTTCACCTGCAATTGAGTATAAGGATAGGTAATGGAACTGTTGTAAACGATTATCCTATTGATTTTATCCTTATTACATTTATCTGTTGCGCAGAATGGTTGTTTTCACAAAGTGTACCAGTATCCGGATGTTGAAAGCTATCCGATTTTCTGCAATTACTGCTGTCACATGGCCATCTATTTTTTTATGAATACTTTACCATTATTTGCATGGCTTAATAAACTGAGCATGCAGCATTTCATAATTTTGCTGTTTAGGGTGTTCTTTTCTCTATTTTAAGGGGAAGTAACTCATGTTTACTAAATTATTTGTTCTTTTCTGTCTATCTTAGGTATTACTTATAATACTATTTTTATTGTATATAATTCACCAGTTGTAAGGTCATCAAAAGCATGTTAATGTTAATGTTAGGATTTCATATTTATTTAATATAAACTTGGAATTATTAATGTTATGTGCATACATGTATATCTTAGACAGTAGTATATTGATATGTTGAGACTTATAATTTTTCTGCATTTAAAGAGATACAGTTATGTCATTTAAAGTTATAAATGATAAAACATGTATTGATTGAAAATGTCCTTAAACTTGGATCAAGCAATATAATTAATAAAGTCTCAAAAATCATATTCTGAATAGTTATTCTATTTTTTTTCTAACATGTGCATAGTTTGAAAAGGACAGCTTCTGTCTTATCTATTTGTAATGAAGGGACACCGGTCTCAACCTCCAGGTCTCCTGAGTCAACCCGACAACAGACTGTACATAGAGTAGATTGTTACTTGCCCTTGAATAAATTTGTGCACTAAATTTATAGTGGGTGATTTGTGCCACATGAAAACCAACATAGTACAAAAAGTAACCGGGCGCCAGATGAAAACATGAAAATACAATCTACCACAAAGTGGTTGGTTTGTTGCATTTTCATGTTTTTGCCCGGTGCCCTTGATGCAAAATTCAAATCAGCCTTCATAAAATTTCTTATGTTGGTCACAGGTTTGAGTTCTGGTCAAGCTCAAAGTTTTTCTCATCCTGTGACTGCATATAAGCATGAGTTCAATTTCCTATGCTCTGTAACATAAGAAATTCACGGACACAAATCGATATAGTGGGGAAATATGTTGTGTTTAGAACTGTTTCATTATTAAAGATAAAATGTGTAGCCGGCCGGATAGCTCATTTGGTCTTCTGAAAGTCATGGGTTCGAGTCATGGTCAGGCAGTTTCAGTCAGGGTTTAGAAGTGATTTTTCAATTGACACATGTTTGATTCATTTAACAGATTGCATTATTTGAAATGGACAAAGGCAGTATTGCATGATTCTTTTAGATCTACAAAGGGCATTTGATACAGTTGAACACGCTATACTGCACATGAAGAAGTTCTTATTCTTCTTCTTCATGAAACTTCAAGCATCTGCCATATATAATGACATTCTTACATGGTTTAAGTCTTATCTCTGATAGACCGCAGCTGGTGGATGTGGCTGGTACTCATTCTACTACTGCTCTGAGTACCTATGGTGCCCCCCTGATCTTCATTTTAGGTCCTCTTTTATGTCTAATATATGTCAATGACATGTCTTCAACCCTAAGCAATAAGCTTTTATTATAATGCACAGGCACGAGTATCAGACCTGGGAAGAAAAAATATGGCCAGATTGATAAAAAAAACCTGTGTTCATCTTAAGAGTGTCAACAACCAAAATAGAATGTAAATAATGACCCCCTTTAAAAATATACTTCAAGTTGATAGTATATTTCTAAAGGGGATCATTATTTACATTTTTTTTTTGGTTTTTATAAACACAGTTTTTTTACCAATCTGGTCATCTGGTCATATTTTTTCTTCCCAGGTCCGATACTCGTGCCTGTGATTATATGCTGATGACTCAGGAATCCTTGTGTCTCGTAAAATAAATCTGAATAAATTCTTTCTTATAGCATGAGTCTTATAAGATTGCTTAATTGACTATAAATTGTCTTTGCATCTTGGCAAGACAGAGTCTATTCTTTTTTGGTTTAAGTTTCAACTTAAAGTGGCCCATGCCTCCAGGTCACATGTAATGGTACTGCTATAAAGTTAAGTATTTAGGTGCAAATCTGGATCAAATTCTTTTGGCGTCGCCCTTTGATGCTTTGCATCAATGCTTTTCTTGTTATAAAGTTTAAAGCCTTTTCCATTTTTCTTTTGTTGTTGTTGTTGCTATTACGTAGTTACTGATCATGCTAAATTCCGTCCTTGCCGTTCCAATTAAGCCGGGTTTAATTGGCAAAGGAATCCGTCCGCTTTTCTTGTCCGGGACATAATTTTGAAACAACAAGAGGTATCAACATGAAACTTTGTAGGTAGATAGATCTCATTGAGTAGGTGTGCAGTGCACAAGAACCGTAACTCTGCCTTGCCTTATTTTTGAATTATTCCCCTTTGTTTATTTTTACACTTCGAACTTTGTCCGGGACGTAACTCTAAAAGTATAAGAGGTATCAACATGAAACTTTGTAGGTAGATAGATCTCATTGAGTAGGTGTGCAGTGCACAAGAACCGTAACTCTGCCGTGCCTATTTTTGTAATTATCCTCCTTTATTTATTTTACACTTTGAACTTTGTCCGAGACATAGCTCTAAAACTATAAGAGATATCAACATGAAACTTTGTAGGTAGATATATCTCATTGAGTAGGTTTGCAATGCACAAGAACCGTAACTCTGCCTTGCCTGATTTTTGAAGTATCCCTCTTTGTTATTTTTACACTTTGAACTTTGTCTGGGACATAACTCTAAATGTATAAGAGGTATCAACATGAAACTTTGTAGGTAGATAGATCTCATTGAGTAGGTGTGCAGTGCAGAAATACCGTAACTCTGCCTTTCCTATTTTATAAATTAACCCCCTTTGTTTATTTTACACTTTGAACTTTGTCTCTGACATAACTCTAAAACTATAAGTGGTATCAACATGAAACGTTGTAGGTAGAAAGATCTCGTTGAGTAGGTGTGCAGTGCACAAGAATCGTAACTCTGCCTTGCCTACTTTTGGAGTTATTGCCCTTTGTTCATTTTGACACTTTGAACTTTGTCCGGGACATTACTCTAAAATTATAACAGATATCAACATGAAACTTTGTAGATAGATAGGTCTCATTGGGTAGAAGTGTAGTGCTTAAGAATCGTAACTCTGCCTTGCCTTATTTTGAAGTTATTGCCCTTTGTTTATTTTTACTTTTTTTACTTTTTTCCGGGACATAACTTTAAAACTATTAAAGATATCAACATGAAACTTTGTAGGTAGATAGATATCATTGGATAGAACTGCAATGCTTAAAGAACCATAACAAAGCCTTGTCTTATTTTTGAGTTATTGCCCTTCGTTCATTTTTACATTTTGAATTTTACTCGGGACATAACTCTGAAACTATAAGAGATATCATCAGGAAACTTTATAGATAGATAGATCTCATAGAATAAAAGTGGAGTGCAAAAACCATAAATCCGCCTTGCCCAGTTTTGGAGTTTTTGCCCTTTGTTCATTTTTTTTTATACTTTCCTGTGTCCAAAACCTTCTCGGGGAGCATCACCCGGTTCAACCGGTTTTTGTTTCTACTTTTAGAACTTCCTTTAGAAATAGTATTCATGAGCCTGAAACTTTTTTTCTACTTATAGAACTTCCTTTGAGATAATATTCATTCGTACTTTAACAGCTTTATTTAGAGATTTTAATAAATTAAATTTACATTAGCCTTTTCATACTTTTTAAGCTTAAACTCACGCTGTAATGCATCTTTCATCTTAGAATTGGTTGTAAAGGATGTTGTTTGTCGGGAATAAGAATTTTATATGCCTCAAATGAACATTTTTAACAATTATACTTTGAACAAAATTCAATTATTTTATACTATATATCAGTGGCTATACACTGTAAAACTTTTTATCAGGTCATTTATATCATAAAATCGCCATAAATATATCACTGATAATAAAAGAAAATATTTTGGCATATATAAATCTTGATATATATTGTTCTAAATGATAAAATCCTAAACAATCTAAACTTCCGGTATTTAAACCCTCCAGGCAAGCACTGATTGGCCGAGATTTCGCGCCTTCTTTGTTGGTTTGTCACCGGCGTTTATTAAAAACAATGGTGGTTACAAAGCGTGTCGGGTGATAATTTATCATAGTTGACATCTCCGCCATTAATTAGCAATACATTACTTCACTAGCATTTAAATGTGTGTAGAGATGGAGAGTTAACACAAAACAAAAATATGTGGACTTTCACCGTTTTTATTATTCTTGTCGCAATTTTGAAAGGATTATATGGACAACTGTCTTTTGGTAAGTTTCAATTTTGTTCGCGTTTAAGGAAAAATAAGCTAACGTTTCAATAATAGAAATATGCAAACTGACATTCATAATCTTGGAATGCAACAATCTAGTAAATACGGTAACAACGCGTTAGTAATATACATAGACTTTATATTCCTGTCTAATGCTCTGTAATCACTCTGTAACCTTAAAATATTTGGTGTCTTAAAATGGAATGATTTTTTTAAACTTTAATGAGGATTGTATAATCTTCAAATTAGAAATTTAAAGACACTTTAAGCATCAGAAATGAGAAATAAATCTATAGAAAGGGAAAACATGTGTTCTATAATATTTTAGATATGGATTTAGAACATGTTTGATGCTTATCACCCAAAGAAAATAGCGCTGAATATGAAAGTTATCAAACTGTAAACAAAGTGGTAATTATATATTGCCAATGTCTTGGAAACTGTACACAGGACACCAAAAATAAAAAGCTTTTGAATTTAGTTTATAGTATTTTCGAGGCTGAATTGGCCTTTATATGTATTTTCAACTTTAAAACGATTGACTATTTGATTAATAGAAAAATGTTCGTTTTTCTCTACAAAACTGTCACTTACAAACATATTCTTTCCTATAAAGATTATTATGTCTTGTACATAATATACAGCACTTGTATTATGATATAGTAGGTACCAGGCCTGATGTAAGAATGCTACAAAGCAATCAAATATACTTTGAAATAACTATTGCTAAGAGGGGAAATATTTGTATGTCCTGCTTGCGACAGTGGTCATTTTACCCTGAAGCTGATTTGATAAATCATTTGAGGTCAACATTGTATGCAACCATCATAGCTTGATGATCTATTTTAATGTTGTAGTACGTTTCATAGTTTATATCACCATTCTTTATAATATAATATTAAGCTGTCCCTGTTAAATTTCGAGGTTTTTGGTTAATTTTTCTGTATTCAAGCAAATAGAGCTACGTCATTAGTGGACACACTTACGGTAACACAGAGGTGACGTGTGTGATTTTTTTTATCCCGTGTGCACGATATACTACTCGATAATAAAGTCGTGCGCACAACATATTTAGCCAATCAAATTACACTACACACGCACGCACGCACACACACACCCGGTTTCTCTCGTGATCGTCAGGGCAAATCATAAGAGAAACCGGTTGGCAAATAATTAAATAAGTTAAATCATGGACTGTGTTTATTGTTTTATTTCACTCTGTAAAAATACACAACTCTGTGACGGCTAATATAAGGTATGTCAATTTAATTATCTTGTGCTCACGACATAATAACTCGTGCTCACGACTTAATTATATTGTGCGCACGGATTATAACTCATGCACACGACATAGTATTTCGTGCGCACGACTTAATTATCTCATGCACACGTCATAGTTACTCTTACGCACGACATAGTATCTCGTGTGCACGACATGAATAAAGACATAGACATGTCACCTCTGTGCCACCGCACAAACTAGAAATATAGTGGTTGTATTTATTACACATTCGTGTTGCTTTACCGTGCATATTTTTAAGTGTCGACATAAACAATGTAAAAGATATTCTTTTTATCTGTTCTAAGATATTATATTCGTATTATTTATTACTAAATTTATAGAACTCGTTCAATAAAATATATAAAATAAATAAAATAACATTATACAACTCGTTAAAAAAATTCGGTACTTAAATATCCTCTTTATCAAAGTAAAATGACTCACGCTACACATTTTTGTTGACTTCCCCGAGGCACTTTAGAAACAGAACACATGTGACCTTCTATACTTTTATACTGGTCAATTAAATAACAAAAATATCCGAATTCTTAGGCAAATAAAAAAAATGCTCAACAGGAAATCAGTTGCTATTGTAGCGGTATACTTTGAATGTCAAATGAGCGTCGGAGAAAGAGAATTCAGCTATGAAAGCTGACATTTCTGTAAAATATGTTTTCAAACAAACATACTAGTAACCTATACGTAAAAGATACGAAAGAAGTAAAAAAATGGAAGAGTAACTTTCGTCATAATGGGTGTACTAGTATACAGAACTTTTTAACTGTGTATAGAAAGAATATATTTTCAAGGTTTACTTACTCGTACACCTTTCCAATAAAGTCTTGCGTTACCAGAAATATCTTTATGCACATGTTTTTCAAGGTTTACTTTACTTATACTTGAAGTATTTTATGTACATTATTAGTCCCCTACAGGTTTAACCGGGTGGGACTTTAGGTTTACCCTCCGTCCGTCCGTCTGTCCGCTCTCACGGGACAGTAATGTGACTAGAGGGACAATAGGCAACTGTTCTTTCTCTTTGATGTCATTCATTCCAATTTCCGGTATGCTTTTATGTGGCTTTTTTCTTTTGTGTGGCTAAAAAGAACAATAGAGACATAATTACTGTCCCGTTAGAACGTCCGTCTGTCTGTCCAGGCGAACATCCAATGGTCTATGAGCTTCATTCCGTCCATAATTTTAGTTCTAAAAGAAGGAAATCCCATAAACCGACTGCCGACTGGTTTATGTGGTAATTTTACTGGTTTATGGGGGAAAATGCTCAAAGAAAAAGCACATAAACCCCAAATGTTGGCACGTCCGTCCGTCAACAACACTTTGAACCCGCGATAACGCAAAAGTACTGAAAATATTTATATGAAACTTGATTTAGGGATAGATGCCAATCTGGAGATTATGCAGGTCTTTTTTCTTCCTATGTTGAAATTCCGGTTGCAATGGCAACAACTAGACTGAAAATATGGCAAATTTAACATATAAACTGGATTTAGTGATAATTCCACAAGTACTGAACATATTTTTATGAAACTTTAAATATAGGTAGGATTATGCACGTCAAGAAATTGGTATTTTTTTCTCCAACTTCTTCATTCCTTAAAGAATTTACTTCAAACTCCCACATCATAATAATATGACAAGGTTTATAAATCTAGAATCCATATTTCCAGAATTATCTCCTCCTTAAACTTTGAATTTTTCTTATTTATTCTTTAACTTTCTTATTTCTTAATCGATTTACGATTTAAATTAAAATAAACTTTCATTATCAACACCTTATTATTTATAATTTTTCATCATTGTTACAATACATGTTAATGGTCTATTTGAAAATTGTTATTTTTTCACTTTTTTTTTGGATACCTCAAATGGTATTTTTAAAATTAAAATAATTGTTCTTTGTTACACTCACATCATGTATGACAATGTTCATACGATTAGCATCTTTATTTTAAGAGTTATCTCCTATTTTAAAAAGTGTTATATTTTGGAAACAGGGATGTTTAAAAAATTAAATTTAGAGTGTCCTTCAGTCCATCTGTCTGACTGTTCCTTGAGATCACTTTTAAAGAACTTTTCCGACAAATTTACTTAAAATAGAGAAAAGTTGGACCTTTTGATAAACATAATTTCCTTTACTAGGCAGGGAAACTTAACACGTTACTATGTTACAGACAAACTAAGAACTCGAAAGATTTATGCTATACTAAAAGTATTTATATACATGATTTTCAAGGTTTACTTTAAGTCCTGCTACATTTAAAGTAATTATATACATGATTGTCAAAGTTTACTATAAGTCCTGCTACATTTAAAGTAATTATACTTGATTGTCTAAGTTTACTTTAAGTCCTGCTACATTTAAAGTAATTATATACATGATTGTCAAGGTTTACTTTAAGTCCTGCTACAGTTAAAGTAATTATATACATGATTGTCAAAGTTTACTATAAGTCCTGCTACATTTAAAGTAATTATACTTGATTGTCTAAGTTTACTTTAAGTCCTGCTACATTTAAAGTAATTATATACATGATTGTCAAGGTTTACTTTAAGTCCTGCTACATTTAAAGTAATTATATACATGATTGTCAAAGTTTACTATAAGTCCTGCTACATTTAAAGTAATTATACTTGATTGTCTAAGTTTACTTTAAGTCCTTCTACATTTAAAGTAATTATATACATGATTGTCAAGGTTTACTTTAAGTCCTGCTACAGTTAAAGTAATTATATACATGATTGTCTAAGTTTACTATAAGTCCTGCTACATTTAAAGTAATTATATACATGATTGTCAAGGTTTACTATAAGTCCTGCTACATTTAAAGTAATTATATACTTGATTGTATATTGTTTACTTTACGTCCTGCTTTATTTTAAGTAATTATACTTAATTGTCTAAGTTTACTATAAGTCCTGCTACATTTAAAGTAATTATATACATGATTGTCAAAGTTTACTTTAAGTCCTGCTATAGTTAAAGTGATAATATACTTGATTTTCAAGGTTTACTTTAAGTCCTGCTACATTTAAAGTAATTATATACATGATTGTCAAAGTTTACTTTCAGTCCTGCTATAGTTAAAGTGATTATATACTTGATTTTCAAGGTTCACTTTAAGTCCTGCTACATTTAAAGTAATTATATACATGATTGTCAAAGTTTACTATAAGTCCTGCTATAGTTAAAGTGATTATACTTGATTGTCTAAGTTTACTTTAAGTCCTGCTACATTTAAAGTAATTATATACATGATTGTCAAAGTTTACTATAAGTCCTGCTATAGTTAAAGTGATTATACTTGATTGTCTAAGTTTACTTTAAGTCCTGCTACATTTAAAGTAATTATATACATGATTGTCAAAGTTTACTATAAGTCCTGCTATAGTTAAAGTGATTATATACATGATTGTCAAAGTTTACTATAAGTCCTGCTATAGTTAAAGTGATTATACTTGATTGTCTAAGTTTACTTTAAGTCCTGCTACATTTAAAGTAATTATATACATGATTGTCAAAGTTTACTATAAGTCCTGCTATAGTTAAAGTGATTATATACATGATTGTCAAAGTTTACTATAAGTCCTGCTATAGTTAAAGTGATTATATACTTGATTGTCTATATGTTTACTTTACGTCCTGCTTTATTTTAAGTAATTATACTTGATTGTCTAAGTTTACTTTAAGTCCTGCTACATCCTAAGTAATGATATACATGATTTTCAAGGTTTACTTACACCTATCACAAAGCCTGGCTTTTTATATACGTGAGTTTCAGAGTTTACATTTTTTCTTATTTATGAGTTTATTTACTTAGAAGTTATATTTTATCCACATGCTTGTTCAGTTTGGCTAGGTTCTAATTAAGATATTATTATTAATATCAATTTAACTGAGTCTAACTATATCAAGAGTGAGAAAATACTACATGAAACATTTGTTTAAAGACACTCATTTGAAACATTTGTATTATAGGTTGTCCTTCAGGCTGGGAACTGAATGATAATAGATGTTACAAGTTTGCGAAAGATAATAAACTGATTTACGAAGAAGCGGATGCTGCATGCTGGGTAACACTTTGTCTTCATGAAATATACATGTATAGAGAACTTTAGATAGAATAATCATTAACATATAAATGAAACGACTTCTGCATAAATAGACACAATTGTAATAGTTGATGCATTTCTGTCTGTCATTTATTATATTTTATAATTACAGGTAGAAGGGGCTACACTTTTACATATAGAAGGTTTTAACGAGCATAAGTATGTTTCTGATTGGTTAATGAAACACGATCTTAACGAGTAAGCAAATTTAATTCTACTTAGTGACAAAGTCGTCCTTAACACATTCATTTAAAGTAATTGTCACATTCTTCTAGTTATTAGTTGTTCTTGTTTTTTTCACATTGAAGAAAGTTCGGAATAGCAACATAAAAGTAACGATATTTGCAACATATGTTTAATCAACATTAAAATTATACTCAAGACACGTAGCGTTATCATTGTTATACAATGTAAATATATAACTAGAACTCCGCGAGTCGGATGTGTCGCCTTGTGAACAATGTAGTTTAGGGGAAATGGCCAGGACAAAAATGAAATATGAAAAATAACAAAGGGCAATAACTAAAAAAATAATAAGTGCAGAGCAGCAGTTTCTGTACACTGCACTTCTTATCAATAAGACCTATCATTCTATGATGTTTCAAGTCCATAGCTTTCATACTTGAGGAAAAATGACCAGGACAAAAATAAAGTAAGAAAAGCAACAAAGGGCAATAACTCAAAAATAAGAAATGCTGAGTATCAGTTCTTATGCACTGCACTTCTTTTTAATGAAATCTATCATCCTATGAAGTTTCAAGTCCATAATTTTTATACTTTCAGAGAAATGGCCTGGACAAATATTAAGTATAAAAATAAACAAAGGGCAATAACTCAAAAAGTAAGAAATGCAGAGTACCAGTTCTTTTGCACTGCACTTCTTCTTAATGAGACCTATCATCCTATGAAGTTTCAAGTCCATGGCTTTTATACATTAGGAGAAATGGCCCGGACAAAAATAAAGTATGAAAATTAACAAAGGGCAATAACTCAAAAATTAGGAAGTGCAGAGTACTGGTTCTTGTGCACTGCATTTCTTCTTAATGAGATCTATCATCCTATGAAGTTTCAAGTCCATAGCTTTTTTAATTGAAGAGAAATGGCCCGGACAAAATTAAAGTATGAAAATTGACAAAGGGCAATAACTCAAAAAATAAGAACTGCAGAGTACCGGTCCTTGTGCACTGCACTTCGGGTTATTGAAAGAAGCATGCATACCAAGTTTGAAGTCAATCAGACTTATAGTGACTGAGTTATGCTCCGGACAAGCTTAAGCGGACGCCGACAACGACAACGACGCCGACACAGACGCCGCCGCCGCCGACACCGCCGACAAAAGTAACCCCTATATGTCACCTTTTCAAGGCGACACAAAAATGAAAATGTGAAAGGTAGTCTCATTTCGGAGAAAAAAAGTTAAATGCGTGAACAAAAATGGGATTCTTCAAATTTTTTAGCGGTTCCGTATGGTTTACAAGCGGATCTTACTATGATAACCAGTATGTGACGTGGGATGGGGACTCGCAACTTGATAGTACAGGTTTGAGTTTCTGGGCAGACGGAAAACCTCCGCAGATGGATATTTCGATGAAATTCAACACAATTGCGTATGTAAGGGCCGGTAAGTAATTTTATTATACAAAAAACGAGCGTCTTTTCATCACGTTTTTTATAATGAATAATGAATGATATTAGTTCCAGTCATATATTTAATAAAGATTCTGGTATCATCAGACACCTATAGACCTTTTTACGATACGCTATTTCCATAGACATTCTGTGTGGGCAAAAAAGCAATAACGAAATAATAGATTTTATCTGTATTCAACATCTTTATTAACAATTTGATGCAATCTAAATTATAACCATAAGGTTAGAATAGTTTATTTTGATAAAGAACAAATGCGATTGTGAATTTAAGTAATTAACTTGGACATTTCCGCATTATTTTTCCAACATAGTCACTTTAAAGGAACAAATGATAATAAATGCAACATATATGTTTAACTTATTTTATTTAGGGTTGGCATAAAATTTCCGTCATGACTGGTCATTAAGTAACATAAAGTTAATAGAGTTTGAACTTTTTATTACAAAATAGGTTTTGCTTTGTCATCGATTGCAAAAAAAAAACTGTAATTTTATGTTAGATTTTCGACTTGTCTATGGCTGAATAAGAGCATTAAATATTCCAGACAATTGGTAATAGAATAATATTAACAATAACATGTATATCAATTATATTATTATATGATCTAAATATAGCTGCAATCTCATTGGTCCAAATTGTAGTCAACAGAACTTTTTATAAAACAATATTCACTGGGTTAAGTATCATAGTCACTGGCTAAATTGGATTTTCCCAGTCTAAAAATAGATTGAGACACATATTCAATGACCATACACCATATACTGTTAATTACGCATGTTAAATAAAAAAATAATTGTTACGTTTTGTTCTTTATGTATGGCATAATTCTCGATTAAAATATCATTACTTTTTTATTATACTTAAAGGCTAAACCGCAATGAAGAGTATAAACTTAAAATTAATTACTTTTGTATGCGCAGCGTTGCACGCCTAACACGTGCGTCTTTTTTCCCGCGCCTCATGCCGAAGAAGGGCTAAGTACCGCGGCGGTCATTATTACCTGAAAACAGAAAAAAGAGTTAACAGCAAGGCAAATGGGAAGGGTGGATGGGTATTTTTCCGTTTTGGTTCAGGGCAGCTCCAGGAGCTCGGAGACTGGATCGATTGTGTGTGTATTTGCGTTTATTTATACTCGCCACCGGTTGCCCATATGGGCGAGTCCCCCAGAAGAGTATTAGTCATTTTAGATTTTTGGAGGATAGTGCAATTACAGATACAGACAGATGCCCCAATTCCAGAAGCCTCTCCTGGTTCTTTAGCGTGCCAAGTGTTTAAGCACCCATACACGGGACCTCGATTTAAAGTCTCATCCGAAAGACTGATTAGTAATTTTAGTTGGCCAGCCCGGGAATCGAACCCACAATGTCGAGATTACAAGTCTCGCGCTCTAACCGATTGAGCTATGCGGGCTGAAAAGGAATTTGCAGTTTATATACCGAGTCTACTATAAGCATGCGCGAACGAGATTGAATGACTTGTTAGGAGGAGGAGCCAAATATACAGGCCATTGCAAAAATACTGTGACATATAGCGTAAAAATAAAGAGTTTAAACTCAAGCGCTTAAACTGAATATTCAATTTCAATTTAATTCAATATTTTATTGAGCATATGAACATATTTAAATGTTCTTTACCCACATATATAACATGCAAGGCGGTGACATTTATTACAATGAGAAGAGCATGATTATGTTATTACAATTAACTTATTAATTATTTGAAAGACGCTGAATGATGCATTCGATTCTAACAAAAGAACATTTGTATACAAGCATTAGAATGTTAGATCATCTCTTGCATTTAAGTCTGCTAAAATGCGTCATTTGGGTATATCTTCTTTTAAAATACTCAGTAAACATAGTAAAGCTGTTCGAAGGTTTGCTACAGTCATTATTACAGCACTGAACTCCTGTATTAGAAGTCGTAAATTGCGAATTCTATATTTCTCCATTTCAATTCTCATACTTAAAGGCTAATAAACGTGATTTCAAGTACTATTACTCGATAAACATTATTTTTGAATAACTTTAAGGGTTAGTACGTATAAAACGTGATTTGATAATAGATATAATGAAATATGCGGGACTAACTAATTCACTGATCCAAAAGCGCATACAAAAGCCCTCTGTTGAAAATATCATTAGTCGACTTTTTTTATCAGTAATAAACCGAAACAATAGGGTGTTTACGATAAATATTTACTATCCAGAACGTAATAGTATGCTATAGTTTCCTATTTATTGTAAGCGTCCTTTGATTATGTGGACTGGCAACAGATGGACACGTGACCGCGTTCGATCTGAAGGTAACACTGTTCTAAAAATAGATTTTACCTAATCACCACTACATCACCTGTACTGACTTTCGGACAAGGGATTAGGGAATACACATTATACATGATGTTAATCAGCGTATATTTACTTTGTTTACATGCAACATTTTAAGGTATTTAATACAATTGTAGAAAGCAAACAAGTTGGAAATGGAATTTAGTGTGAAAAGAAAAGGGTCACTACACACTCTACTTTTTTAAGTTAAATTTAAACATGTCACAATCTGCTCTGACCTCTCTATATAATTTTATATACATATTTACACCTTGTCAATAAAACAAAGTTTAAAAAATGCACCAGCAATTGGCGATGATTTTAACAACACATATTTTGTGTGAGAACAAATGTATTTTATTGTCTATACGTTAACAGTGTATGTTAAATCACGGACCTAAATTGTCAATTCAGTTTAAATATACATGCAAGCATGCATGTAAGTATACATTATTTCTGATAAAATTAATACTAGAATCGGCATTTTTATTAGGTAAAATAGGAAAACTTATTCTAAAATTATTAAAGAATTAAGATAATAACCATTAATATAATACTCGTAGCACTTTGGTGGATAGATTCATGACTTCTCCAATCTACGTATTTTACATAGAAACAAAATTTCGTACGGTATATCTGGGACAGAAAGATACACTTTCATTTTTAGTCCCAATTTCTTAAAATCATACCATATCATATCACCATTTCTAATTTTGATAAACAGTGAAACAAAAACAAATTGCCAATCTCCGGCATTTTTCTCAAATTGACATGCAGGGAAAGTATTGCCCCGAAAGTTATATCTTTTTCACCATATCATCTTATTTTCCTGATGGTTTTAAACCATCTCAATCATGCTTTACGCAAGTTTAACTCCAGGAACATCATTTCCATTGAGAGAAATGTGAATAAAAGTATTCGTAACCATTATGTTGTATAATCTACATGTAGATTAACAAGTTTCCTTGTCCGAAACTTATCTATTGTTATTTAAATAAAAGGTCAGAGTAGGGATCTATCAATGGATTAGCTATGTGATGCCGCGGTTGCTTTTTTTCCATCACTCAACCGGGACGTTTTAATTTCATGACATTCCTAATAATGTACAATTACGATAATTGTAATAACTTTAACTATCTTATCTTATCAATGTTTGGAATTAATTTTGTGAGGTGACAAATAGTGTGGAATGCATTTATCTAGATTTTGAAAATGTGCTACGATACAATGGATAAATTGTGAGCAATTTTGCTACACATCTGGAAAGTGTTCTTAACTTCTCATAATTTGATACAACTACTCAAACATATATATATATGTAACTGTTTTGCATCACAGTCAAATCGGATAAATGATAAAATCAGGCAAACTGAAAACTAAAAACATGTTCATTAACATGCATTATCACATTTTTTTTTAAATCTTTTTTCAGAATGATAATTATATAACATCGATTTTATGATATATAAACCTCTTGTATTTTATATGAAATATTTCAAGACGAATAAAGTAGATCTTTTTTCTTAATAATAAATATAATTTTACTTATTCACAACAGTGATATAATTGATTTTCAAGTCCGTCAACTGACACAGTTTGCGCATGCGCGAGAATTTACTACATCTGCGAACCGCGCCGTAAATAGGTATATACTGTATAGAGAATTTGACGTTTGTCTTGTTTTGTTTTAAAAAATAATTAAAAATTATGCATTCGTCTCGCTGTTTATTTCGTAAACAAGCGATAAAAGTCGTACACATGTGTCACTTAAAAGTTTCTATCTTTCTACGAGTATAGGTCCTAAAATGAATGGGTATGGTTGGGAAGTTGTTTCACCTAGCATTAATTCAGCTTATATATGTGAAATGTCCAAAACAGAAGCACAACGAATGAAAATAGAAGACAGAGATTTCTGTAAGTAGTCTTATACCTTAAAACATGCTGAGAATAAACTAAATACAAAGATACATGTATATTACAATGATCGCATAATTGATATTAAGTCTTAGAAAGATATACCTACAATAATTTATGAATTATACGTAATAGATATACCATTGCTGCGTTGACGATTTCTAAACCCAGAAATCGTCAACGCACCAATGGTGTATCTGTTTTAACCTATAGCTCCGCCCAGAAACGCTTACTCCTTCGATCTTCAAAACTGAAAATTATACCATAGTCTGGGTATGGTATAATTTACGGTTATTGGAAATTATACTTGGAAGAATTTTACATAAGAAGCGCTGAAGAGCTATAGGTTAAATGTAATTAACATATAGTATCTTTAACAACACTGTATGCTATTGCATATACCACTGTCCTCTATGAACAGGTCAACAGGCTTAACTAAAACGAGCCTGCAGCGTTCTTTAAGATTTCCATTGTTTCCTATTTAATATTGTCCTCTTTAAAACTTAAAAAAAATGACAAAACGTTAACCCGAAATGTTTCAATGTACTGCTTTCATACGGACGTCAAATAACGTTTTCAGCAGTTGGAAAACATAAAATGTAATACTATGTATATGTGTATTTGTAGCATATGGTCAAGGCAATATAGACGACAAGTATATAAAGAAAGGCCCAGTGATGACAGAACAACCTGCAAATGTAGCTATATTCGGGGCGCCCCCAAGTGCATTCATTGAATGTAAAGCAAAGGGAAATCCAAATCCGATATACTCATGGACTAGAGATCAAGGCGAGGCGGTGACATCAAAGTTAAATAACAGGTACATTAAGATAATATACTTTCTGTAAGGTGAAATACAGTACATACCAGAATCTGATGATTGCTGTTATGTGAACAAATAGTATACATGTATATATATAATAAATACAGACCTACAGCAATTGAAAGGTTTTATAAACTTAACTGAGGACTACAACACAACTGTTCATTTCTCCGTTTTAGATACACGTTGAGCGCGGGAAGGTTCACAATACAGGATCCAGAAGAACAAGAAGATGCCGGCGAGTACCAGTGTATAGTAGAAAATAAACTTGGAAAAATCCTTAGTAACCCCGCAAAAATTGTATTTGGATGTAAGTTTGTCTTTATCTTAAAACTTGAAAACTATTATTGAATCAATATGATTGGTTTGTTTAAAACATGTTTATATGTAGACATTCAATCAATGTGCTTAATGCTGGTGTTTTTGGTATTATAGATTTACAAGGGTTTTCACCAGTAAAACCAGAAAATGTTCAGGCGAACAAGTTTGAAGGATCAAGAATTAGTTGTTTAGCCCCCGCTGCTTACCCAGGTATGTTTTCATTGTTATTTAATACATTTGAATATTTGTTTACTAGAAAGGTAAAGATAAAATTTGTAAACTGTTGGTAAAATTTAATATTCATCATTCTCACGTATTTCAATAAAATACATGTATTAGGGTTTTTTGTCTTTTTTTAAAAATAGATGTAAATAAAATTTTAAAAATGTTTGTTTATTATATATACATGTAGTAAAATTGTTATAGTGTGTGTTCTTCATCGGTTTTGCTAAAATCTTTATTCTATACTTGTCTCATAAAATTCTATCAAATTGTATTTTAAAAAGAAGTAAATTATCAATTGCTATCTTTATATACTCTAGCGGCAACTTTTCAGCTGTTTTATCGGAGTATAGCAGAACCAATCTTCAAGGAGAATGAAAACATGTTTGTTTCAAGTAGCGGCTATTTATATTTCTCCGAAGTACAGCCTACTGACAGTAGGAAATATTTCTGTTCCGTTACCCTAATTGCCACATCGGAGTATGTAACTGCTATTAACCAACCTCCAGCAGAATAAGTCTTGGGGTTGATCTCATTGTAACTGGAACAGTAAGACTTCTTTAAATATATATAATATATTCTTGCCTTTATAATAATAAAGTATAATTATGTATAATTATGTTTTAAGATAATTAATTATCTCAGGAACTTTATTAACACCAATAACTTAAAGTTCGTTACAGAATCAGCAAAGCAAAATTAAATCAACAAATCTGATATGTAAAACTTATTCTCTTTTTTCTTCCATATGATGTCAAGTGACTTTACTTCGGTAATTTATATAATATTGTCTTTTTCACAGAACACGGGTATTTCAAGCCTTTTATCTACACTCACACTTTCCGTCACCAGCACTACGAGGGTCAGATATACGACTGGAGTGTGTTGCCTACGGATCGTAAGTTAATCTAAAGCTATTAATATTAATAAAAAATAATTTTCATATCAGATGCTATCTTATCTTTTAAGTACTAAATCTTTGACTCGAACTCTTTTTATACCTAAATCATTCATTTCAACGTTCATCCTTTTATCAAATATACTGGTTATCTTATTCACAATTTTAGCCTCCAGAGTATCCTCCAATGGGTCAAATCTTTTGATTTAGGCACAGGTACAGTCTTCTTGATTGATGAGTTGCTCACACATTCTTTTGAGTTTCTGCTGATGCACAATTGTTTGTTTTTTAACATGTTTACAAGAAAGTTTTGTCCACTCTATAAGACTGAAGTGGTGGGGTTTTGTCCACTCTGTAAAATTTAGTGGTGGGGTTTTGTCCACTCTATAAAATTAAGTGGTGGGGTTTTGTCCACTCTATAAAATTTTGAGTGGTGGGGTTTTAACTGGTGGGGTTTTGTCCTACATTCATTAAATCAATGTGCTTAATGCTGGTGTTTTTGGTATTATAGATTTACAAGGGTTTTCACCAGTAAAACCAGAAAATGTTCAGGCGAACAAGTTTGAAGGATCAAGAATTAGTTGTTTAGCCCCCGCTGCTTACCCAGGTATGTTTTCATTGTTATTTAATACATTTGAATATTTGTTTACTAGAAAGGTAAAGATAAAATTTGTAAACTGTTGGTAAAATTTAATATTCATCATTCTCACGTATTTCAATAAAATACATGTATTAGGGTTTTTTGTCTTTTTTTAAAAATAGATGTAAATAAAATTTTAAAAATGTTTGTTTATTATATACATGTAGTAAAATTGTTATAGTGTGTGTTCTTCATCGGTTTTGCTAAAAATCTTTATTCTATACTTGTCTCATAAAATTCTATCAAATTGTATTTTAAAAAGAAGTAAAATTATCAATTGCTATCTTTATATACTCTAGCGGCAACTTTCAGCTGGTTTTATCGGAGTATAGCAGAACCAATCTTCAAGGAGAATGAAAACATGTTTGTTTCAAGTAGCGGCTATTTATATTTCTCCGAAGTACAGCCTACTGACAGTAGGAAATATTTCTGTTCCGTTACCCTAATTGCCACATCGGAGTATGTAACTGCTATTAACCAACCTCCCAGCAGAATAAGTCTTGGGGTTGATCTCATTGTAACTGGAACAGGTAAGACTTCTTTAAATATATATAAATATATTCTTGCCTTTATAATAATAAAGTATAATTATGTATAATTATGTTTTAAGATAATTAATTATCTCAGGAACTTTATTAACACCAATAACTTAAAGTTCGTTACAGAATCAGCAAAGCAAAATTAAATCAACAAATCTGATATGTAAAACTTATTCTCTTTTCTTCCATATGATGTCAAGTGACTTTACTTCGGTAATTTATATAATATTGTCTTTTTCACAGAACACGGGTATTTCAAGCCTTTTATCTACACTCACACTTTCCCGTCACCAGCACTACGAGGGTCAGATATACGACTGGAGTGTGTTGCCTACGGATCGTAAGTTAATCTAAAGCTATTAATATTAATAAAAAATAATTTTCATATCAGATGCTATCTTATCTTTTAAGTACTAAATCTTTGACTCGAACTCTTTTTATACCTAAATCATTCATTTCAACGTTCATCCTTTTATCAAATATACTGGTTATCTTATTCACAATTTTAGCCTCCAGAGTATCCTCCAATGGGTCAAATCTTTTGATTTAGGCTGTCAATAAGGCAAGCTATATTATTATTTAATTTCATAACTAGACTAGACAGAGTGTCAAATATACAGATTCAGCTAGTGGTTGCTAAATGCTTACCAGCCTTTTATTTATGGGTATTGCCTTCTTGCTGACATTATGACACGCGAAACGTCATTTTCATTACTTACTTTTGGAGTCAGTGTGTCCTGCTTAGTCCTAGCTTAAGGTCTTTAGCGTACCCGTTTATATACTATGACATGACGTGAACGCTGAAGATAACCCCATAGGGAAAGTCCACCAATAATCGTGCCAGGAATCTGACACGCTTGTATTTATTCATCGAACATGCCATGAAGTAAAGTGAAGCATACCTTGATAAAACTATCTATAATCTGTTGATAAGCCAAGGATGGACAAATAAAAATCTTATTACGAACATAAACTACCTAATAGTTTCCGACAGGTAAAATTTTCGGCACTTGGCCGCCATATTGCCAAAATGTTTGATCACGTGATTACGAGATTGACCTTTACGAACCCATGTGCCTCCAATATTTTTATAAATTACTTTTTTTTAAAGATATTGAAAAAGGTGATTTACTGACTTTTATATTCAATACAATCGTATTTAAGTACTAAAAAATAATGAAAATAAATAAAAACATTATCTTGAATAAAAGAATCGAAATCATGTCAACAAAATGTTCTAAATATAGTACACGACTCTATTCAAATCTGTTCCCGCGAATGACGTCATGCGAGATCTCGCGTGGCACCTGAATGTCATGGCCAACTGTAGTCGGCGTAAATTGATATTTTACAATTAAATAGGCAATTTTAATGACGGTATTAATATTTTGATACTTTAATTGGTATAGAATGATATTAAAATGATTGTTTTATCGTAAAATGCACAAGAATTGATTGGGTCAAGTGTATTTGCAAGTGAAAAACAAGAATAAACAACTTATGTTATTCTGGTTAGGTTTCGTAACGGGTCTAATCCAAAACTTTAATGCCGCATCAGATGGAAAAAAAATGTTAAAAAGCGGCTTATAAAGTTTTGGAAGCCAGAACTAGCTTAGTCCCTTTCACTTCGACTGTAATCCTGTGAATCACTATAAGAGTCGATGCGATGACGCTTCCAGTCGTTCACAGGAGCTATACAGTTGTAGATAGATTAAAGTTATTCATCACCAGGTTTATATTCGATTGGGTTTCGGCAAGATCTTTATAAAAGCCCTTCGCCATTGCAAAATTTCAAAACAAGCAAACAGGTCTGGTCGCGAAAACACGTTGCACGACTTATCTCACCGGTGCAGCCACAAGACGCTCTCGTAAGAATGGCCCTAGTAAATAGTTTAGTTGCATGGAACATATCAATAAACATAAAATGACACCTAATATTGTGTTCCACACATCGAAAAACAGCAGGAACGATGTGAGGATAAACTTAATATCAGCAATTTGTCCTTGTGCTCACAAAAAAACATCATTACGTTAGGTTGAGCACCACTATATTAATTATGTTGCCGTTAGTCAGAAAGATGAACACATCTTCAATGGGTATATTAGGATCCTCATTATTTATATAAAATTTTCATATTTTGATTACATGATGTGTACACTGTTTTGCACACGTTACTTATATTTTCAGTTTGCCATTGATATACAGCTGGCGCCGTGAGGATGGGAGAGAGTTTGAACCTGGAACTACGATGGATGACTTAAATAGAGTTCTTACCATAAAATCTTCTGAACTTGAAGCTGAGGGAAATTATATTTGTACAGTAAATGGTCGAGCCGGTGTCGAGTCAAAAATGATTAGTTTAACTATAGAAAGTAAGACATACTTCTTATCTAAAAAGATCTAAAAATGTCCTCAGTAGTTTGAATTAGTTCATTGCAGGCGCATTATTTTTTACATAGGTATTATAGTTCATTTAATAAGATTTGTACATGTTTCTTCGCAAGCACAAAATATAAATTTAATTTAGTCCTTTGCAAGTGCATTGTTATTTACATAGGTATTAAGTGCAAAAGTTCACTTAAATAAGATTTGTACATGTTTCTTCGCAAGCACAAAATATAAATTTAAATTAGTCCTTTGCAGGCGCATTGTTATTTACATAGGTATCTAGTGCAAAAGTAACTTAATAATATTTGTACATGTTTTTATGAAGCACAAAACATAAAATTGAAGTATAAAGAAAAATATTTGAATATAATTACTTTCAGCAAAACCATATTTCCCGTTTGATATTGGAAATCGTTTAGCAGATCCAGGACAGACCCTTAAATGGCGATGTAAGGCTGTAGCTCGTCCTAAAGCAGTATATACCTGGTACAAAAATGGGGAACTCATAGAAAATATACCAGGAGTTATTGAAGTTCACAAAAATATCCTCATTATCAATGATGTTGACATTGAACGTGATGAGGGAATGTATCAATGCGGAGCTACAAACGTACACGGAACTACATTCAGCTATGGACAGCTGAAAGTTTTATGTACGTATAGTTTGATATTTTAAATACTGTCAAATATTTCAATTATTTTTCGAGAGCGTCTTATATGTGATATACTCAGTTCATTATAATTAGTTATAAGTTTTATTGTTATTATTCCAGCATTTAAACCAACATTTAAACGGCATCCTCTCCCATCAGAAATTCAGATTCCCCATGGTGGTAACTATACTATACCGTGTATGGTAGAGGCGGCACCTATACCAGACGTAAGTTACATATGTATCTCCTGATTTTTTTTCTAAAATTATTACACTTACAATCAGTGGGCTAGGATATAGATTTTATGAAATATGTATTCGATTACCTCAAAAAAAGCTTAATTTGGAAGTCAGCTTTTAGCAGTGCATGAAATTCTTTTCATTAGAAATTTAGAGAAATTTTTTTTTTAGTTTATTTACAAAGTTATAATGCAATAGGATTGCATGATTTACTTTACAGGTCGTTTGGATGAAAAATGGTGGAATTTTACCTTTGACCCCCGGTGAAGTCAGCGGCCATTTTGGCATGACCTTAGACTTTAGTTTAGTGTTTAATATAATAGAGTTTTCGGATCAAGGTGTGTACACATGTAAGGCATCAAATATCAACGGAGAAGCGACAAACTCAACTACAGTGAAAGTTGTCCGTAAGTATGACATCAGTACAAGACAAATAACACTTAATATCAATCTTTCTATATTATAATAATCTCACACCGGCTGTCAATACAGACCGGAATTTATCTAGCTCGAGGGTTTACTGTTTACGGCGGTAACGAGGCGGCGCCGAGATTCCGCTAAACAGTTACCCGAGAGCTAGATATTTCTATTTGTAACAACAGCCGGTGTTTAATCATTTTTCTTTAATATTACAAAGTAATAATATTACGAAAAGAAGTTACAAAATTTAGCACTTTTTCTTGCAGTAGCGCATGAATTTATGTACAACTTGATTCAAAACGGCACAATGACGTCATCCTAAGAAAGCAATTCATTTATTAAAGGCGCATGGGAATGACGTCATTTAAAAGACGTGACTTGTCTTCGATGGGGGTGTAAGACAGATTTATTTGGCACCGGTGTAAACATTAGATTATAAGAATCTTACACTGGATGCCGGTACAGACCGGAATATCTAGCTTTAGAGTAACTAGAGGCGCGAGGCAATAACGTCATTTAAAGAACGCGACTTGTCTTACATGGGGGCTGCCTTCGATTGCTAACGCGGGTTTAACACTTTCGACACGGGTAACAATCGAACAAGGTAGAGTTGAGTATTAGGGGCGTCATCAGTTTTGCGTACCTGAGTTACGCGGGTTGGACACTGCCTATCAGCTGGGTCACAAGTGTTAAAATGGCGGCCAACAACGTTGAAAAGGAGTAAATGAGAGGATTTTTATAGTTTTTCTGCTTTTGTTTGTTAATAGAATCTAATATAGCCTTTGAATTTATCTTTACTTTATTTATTTATATAAAATAGTTAAAGTAATTCAAGCATTATTTCCTCCGCCCAAAGGTGCAAATAATTCCCTGGGCGCAGCCATATTTGTTTACAACCCGATCAACTCGTGCTTGTTCAATTGCTATTAAATGTACGCATGCGCATATGAGCTTTTCCGGTATCGACACTACTTACACGGGTTAGGCAATCGAAGGCAGCCGTGTAAGCATCGGTGTAAACGGTACATAACCCTGTCTGATATGCAAGTAAATCCTGTCTGATATGCAAGTAAATCCTGTCTGATATGCAAGTAAATCCTGTCTGATATGAGGGAAATATTGATTTTATATATTGCCAGTTTATTTGTTCAGAATCACACACGACTGAAATATAAACGTTTATCATTGTATCCACACCACTTTGAATTATGAATAAACGTGTATAATTCTCTATTTAAGGTGGTATCTCCATCAGTAAAGCACCTATGGATGTGAAGGTCATGGTTAATAAGACAGCGTTCATGTTTTGTCAAGCATCGTATGACAGTTTACACTTTGACCTAACGTACCAGTGGAAAAAAAACGGTCACGTTATTAATTTTACAATGGATAATCATTTCATACAGGTATTATGATTTATATTTTGTATCAGTTGTAGAAAATATGCGGATATATCATTTATTTTCTTTGAATGTTTATAGTTTATCAAAATTAAAGATAGAATCTCTTCAACCTTTTATAGAACAATATGTAACAGAGTAACTATTGTGTGTTTGAAAGGAGTGAGTGATACTAAAAAAGGATTGGAGCACCACACTAAATACCGTATTCCGGTATATACCGGGCAAGGCGCTTGAATCGTGAAATGCTAAAATCTTGCCTTTTTACCCAACGGAATGAACTTTAATAGGTCTAATTCATCTTTTCACACCGATTTATGTTTGATAATGAATGAAAAATGTAAAAATCGGCGAAAAAAAAAACGATATTTGTCTATTTTGTGATCATGATTTCTGCAAGCGTCTAGAGGTACTGCTCCAATCCTGTATTGGGTTAAATCCGTTTGAAAGTGTTCTTAAAGAGAGCATGTTCTTATTGTAGAGTAAGAAGGACGGTTTAGACGGATTATATATCAGTAAAGCTCAGTTTAAACATTCTGGCACATACACGTGTGAGGCTCGTACAACCCTGCATGTTGACAGTAAGAGTGCCATACTTTATGTAGAAGGTATGTAAATCAGTGATTAAATGTTTTACTCACATCTATTTCAGTTTCAATAAACATCGGATAACAAATAATAATATAATAGTTGATCTTTTTCCTATAACAGAGAACAAACTCACTTTTGTCTATACAGTTGAAACAATACAATATCTCAATAATTGTTGGAACGCGATTGGTTTTATCAATAAACTTGCTTGATACAAAATTACATATTTCTTATAAGTACATTTATTATCTAGGTCCACCTGGAGCTCCAGCCGGTGTATATGTAGAATCGACTTCTGTTTCTGCCAATTCTGTCCGCCTGATTTGGTCTGTATCATCGTTTATGAATCATGGCAATCCAATAAATAGGTTTCATGTGGAGGCTGAAATGTCTATTTACCCTGACCAGTGGGAGACCATAGCAACTGGTAAGTTTTTAGAATTACAATTTTCTATTTTTCACTACTACAATGATATATGTTTTATGAGAGACGTTATTATTCGTATCCTTAAAGGGACTCCACTGAGGTTTTTTGACATGATGGGACTGAAAATATTTTTTTCCAGATAAATGTACCATTTGATGTAGGTCTAGACTACGAATCTTTGTGCAAACTTTCAGATCATTCGCGCACTTCGTTTTTCCATAATAATTATTCAAATTGTAAAAAAATGACCCAAAATGAAAAGCGTGTAAAAGCTTTTCACTCAAATTAGGCTAAGAAAAGCATAAAACTACGATTTTCGATTTATTTTAAAGTATATTTCTTAACTATCTTTGCATATATTTCTGTTTAAAGCGCCCCAGTTCATTTATGTAAGAAATTCTAATGTTATATTTTTAGGCTTTTAAACCTCAGTGAAGTCCCTTTAAGAAATTTTAAAGTTGAGTGAAATCTCAAGTAACTTGACAATCATCAATATATAGAGACGTTTAATTACAGATATACCTGAGTACGTAGCCATGAGTGAAGCTGTTGATTTCGGATTACGTGAGGACCAGAGAAGCGCCGTTATTAAAAACCTACTACCAGATATATCGTATCGCTTTAGAGTACGTGCTATCAATGATTACGGTATAGGACATGAAGCTAGCGACGGTTCTGGTGAGTCAATTTATCATTAAATTCTTCATTATCCAGAAATATGAGCCGCGTCATGACAAAACCAACATAATAGGTTTGCGACCGCGCAGTCTGATCAGGATCCATGCTGTTCGCTATCAGTTTCTCTACTTGTTATAGAGTTGGTAAGCGAACAGCTTGGATCCTGATCAGACTGTGCGGATGCGTAGGCTGGTCTGGATCCATGCTGGTCCCAAACTCATTATGTTGGTTTTGTCGTGACGCGGCTCATATGTGCATTATCTGCATGTTAATAATTTTCGTATTTTTTTCATTCTTCCTCCTTATTTGAAAGAATAACTTTGTTGAAACTCACTGAGACATGATGGTATTAAACTTATCCGGTCAGTTATAGTTTGTATCAAAGTCAAAGCAAACAATGAACAGTTGTTAAGTGTTAGTAAAATAAATGAGCCGCGTCATGATTAAACCAACATAGTTCGTATGCGGCCAGCATGGATCCACCCCAACCTGCGCATCCGAGCAGTCTGATCAGGATCCATACTGTTCGCTGTCAGTTTCTCCATTTGTAATAGAGTTGGTAAGCGAACAGCATGGATCCTGATCAGACTGAGCGGATGCTCAGTCTGGTTTGAATACATGCTGGTCGCAAACCTACTATGTTGGTTTTGTCGTGACGCAGCTCAAATAGAGCGTTAGGAAGTGAGACCATGGGTTCTTCTTTGTTAAAGTTTTGAGTGTTCACACAATTCATTTATCGGATACGATAATCCACCTCTCGCACGTCGGCATACTGTGCATGTCTACCTTGATATACTTCAGAAATAAATGGTAATTTGATTAATAACATAAGCAACATTTATGCCTACGAATTTGGTTCTGATAACACTACCAAGCTACTGTCAATAGGGTTTTTATGCTTTAAGCCACACGTGATTGATTGATATCATTTCAAAAACCAACTTTTTAATGATATACTCATAAAAAAATCATCTAAAAAAGTGCATACACATTCATCTTTCAAAACAACATAATATTATGTCGAAATGCACAAAGGACAAGATGTCGTATATTTTGACCTGGATTAACTTACACTACGTTACACTATTGTAAACGGAGAATAATGACAAAAAGCTGATTGCTATAAATTCCTTTCAGGATATGTTAAACTTTTAGTTTTTGCTTCAACATATTTTCAGTGTCTATTAAAACACCATCAACATCGCCGGTTACAATACCTAGAAATATCCGGGGTCTAGACGAGGGAAAAGTTGGTACTTTAAATATCATGTGGGATGTAAGTCAAGTTATGCATTTCTAAGAAAATAATTCTAAATAGCTGAGAAACTAAGTGTTTATTCAAGAATGATACATTCAATGTCTTAATGACCGTACCGGTTTGTTTTAAGTATTGCATTTCCTCATGCAAGATAAACAAGATAAAATTACGTTACTTAAAATAATGATAGAAAATATTGGATTTAGCTCATTACAGGATTGGAGCAGTACCTCTAGACGCTTGCAGAAATCATGATCACAAAATAGACAAATATCATTTTTCATTGATTATAATACATAAATCGGTGTGAAAAGATGAATTAGACCTATCAAAGTTCATAACGTTGGGTAAAAAGACAAGATTTTAGCATTTTACCATTCAAGCGCCTTGTCCGGTATGTACGGAATACGGTATTTAGTGTGGTGCTCCAATCCTTTTTTTAGACTCACTCGAAAATATTATTATAGTATATTGCCCACTTGCATTTTTTTTCTTACATATAATGCAAGTAGAAATTTGCTAGGATATGACAGACATTTTGTGTGTACTAGAGATGTTTTCTATTGAAGCCATTAGATATATCAGAATACAGTGGGCCGGGGGTCGGCTATAACGTTTATTTCAAAAAGAAAGATGATCCGAAAGAATTTTTTCATGTAAGTTTTTAATTTTGTCGCTTATACGTATATCTGTTTCTAATTTATTGTTTTGGTTATAATGATGTTTTATCTTATTTTATCTTCTCCAAATTTCCCCAATATTATTGTCGGTACTGTATATGAGCCGTGTCACGACAAAACCAACATAATGGGTTTGCGACCAGCATGGATACAGACCAGACTGCGCATCCGTGCAGTCTGATCAGGATCCATGCTGTTCGCTTTACCAACCCTATTACAAGAAGGGAAACTGATAGCGAACAGCATGGATCCTGATCAGAATGCGCGGATGCGCAGGCTGGTCTGGTTCTATACTGGTCGCAAACGCACTATGTTGGTTTTGTCGTGACGCGGCTCATATATAAACTATAATTGTAAAGTAACGACTGTTTATCAGTGATACACAGAATTGTTAAATATGGTACAACTGTGCTTCCATAAATAATTTTTTTATATATTTAATTGAGTATAAGTATGATAAAAATGTAAACAAACTTGAGACTGTTGTTACAGGCGAAAGTTGAAGGACCAAATTCGACAATGTATACACACCTTGTTGGTTTAGATAACTATTACCTGGAATACTCTGTCAAAGTTGGAGCTTTCAATAAACATGGTAGTGGTCCAAATTCTACTCTACATACGATCATGTCTGCAGAGGGCAGTGAGTATCTCTTTTTATTCTTATAACATTATTGAAACTGTATTTCATTACTATATCTATAATATTCCTGAGAATGTACATAAAGAGCTGACAATGTTTCTAAACCTAGTAATTTCCAAAATACATTTTCATACAGTTTACATATTTTGAAGATGACTTAATTTTGCACATTTGTAACATATTCCATGAAATTCATTAAGAATTAAACATATTCCAGTGCCTGTAGCGACCGTTTTAATGGGAGATTGTGATAACTACAATGGTTCAGCTTTTTCCATGTCATGGACCCCGATAGAAGATACACGAGAAGTTATCAAGGGCCGCCTAAAGGGATACAGGGTAGATAATTTGTTTTGTACATTAACTCACCAATATCGTTTCTCTTCCCTCCTGTAATAATTGTTTATTTTGGTAACATATGGATTGGTTGCGACATTTGGTACTTTTTCCGGCCGGTCTGTTTTCTGTTTGACTTCCTGTAAATTTCACAGGGAAGAACTGAATATAAGAAAAGAGCCCTATAATTAAATATACAGCAAAGTTCTTACATTCAGATCTCATTTCCTTTTTATCTATCTTTCTTTCTTCGGTGTGAGCCAATGGTATACGCGATGAACTGGCCGCATTCATGAATACAAAGTCTTCATAATTTTTTTAACATTTTCATTTTTACTTTTCCTTATACGGTCAAATAAAGCAAGTTATTGGCACCCATATCTTAGTTTATTCTCGTGTTAAAAACTAGCCATGCTATTATCCCAGGTAGCATTATTATCAATTTGATATATGTTATAGGTAAGATATTGGCACGATGACTACCCGGAATATGTCACATGGCGAGATCTGTACGGTCAACATGACTCTACTATAATTATTGGTTTGGAGGATAACACAAATTATTGGGCATCAGTACAAGTTATGAACTACGCTGGTGTTGGTCCAATTGGAGAGATTCGACTAGCTGAAACATTTCATTTACGTAAGTTTATCCCATTTTAAGAAGATGTTAACAAAGAATTATGATTACAAAGAATATTATAAACTCAATTTATAAGTGTTAATTCAACCACGGATTTTGATTACAAGATATAAATCCGCGATTCAACAAATGTAAATCTTAGAAGAAAAATATGTCGTTGATACAGACGAAAGATGATTTTCTGGTATGTTTTAATACGGACATTTTTGTGGATACATTTTTTTACTTTTTCACTGTGCAAATACACATAATAACCATTGTAATATTATTGTACCTTAAAGCTCCCCAACAGTACCCCCGCCATATTGAGGTGTGGCCACACACCCGACACTCTGTCAGAGTCAAATGGCAAGGTATAAGTACAACAAGGTGGGACGAAGAAACTCTTCAAGGATATATTGTAAGTAATATTAAATAGTTATCCATTCCTGAAACACAATTAATGATAATGTTAGCGGGAAATTTGGGTTCGTGTAAAATAAATAATTAATAAATTTATAATTATCCTACTATATTTGGTTTTTGATCACAAAATTGCAATGTTTATGGGTTTTTTTTACATTTTACGTATGTATGATACAGGCTTCCCGCACTGTACCTATGCTTTTGCATGTACAGAAGTAATTAGTACCTTGCGAAAGTGAAGGCAACTAGTACTCGTACACTGCTTGACAACCTGCTCAGGGACGATGCGGTGGCTGAACTTTGGTCTGGTAAATTCCGTGTGACTCACTGCCGTTCTCCGGAATGGAAACTACACCACATTTTTGTGATCAATGTAGCTGTCTATCACCACTGGTGCCAGTATAACGGTGTGATAATCAATATCCATGCTTGTTTGTGTTCAGTATATACTGTAATGATTAATGTAACCAATGTGTTATTATAGATACGTATATGGAAAGTTCAGGAAGATATCAGGACAGCTCGAGATATTGTGTTAGATAAAGATCCAGAGGCTATAGTAGACAACCTACAAGTTAAAACAGTATATGTTATGAGGGTTCTAGGATATAGTATTGGGGGAGATGGTGCCCTTAGTCCACATACTTACTTTACAGTCGAAGGTAACTGCTTCAATGTTTAACTGTAAATACAAAATGTATTGCCATATGACATCATTATGAACCAAATCTGAACAAGATAAATATAGCATACATAATTGAGCCGCGTTATGACAAAACCAACGTAATGCGTTTGCGACCAGCATGGATACAGACCAGCCTGCGCATCCGCGCATTCTGATCAGGATCCAAGCTGTTCGCTTACAAATCCTATTACAAGTAGAGAAACTGATAGCCAACAGCATGGATCCTAATCAGACTGAAACTGCGAAGGCGCAGGCTGATCTGGATCCATGCTGGTCGCAAACCAACCATGTTGGTTTTGTCGTGACGCGGCTCATATGTAGGTGAAACTAGTAGTAAACCATGTTGAAGTGGACAAATAAATTTTAATAAATAGCTTTACTATACATGATTACTTACTTTTAATTAATTGATTTTTTTTTGTATCATCACGGAGGCTTTGAAGTCATCTCCGATAGAATTCTTGTCGGTATTGAAGTATAAGTTAGGTTCTAAATAAAATTGTTTTACTCTGTAAATAAACTAGTTATGCTTCACACTTCCAATATCTATTAATTAATTGCATTTTTACTTCAGTTTTTAACTTTTAATTAACAGTCTCCGCAAAAAAAAAATCGGCTCCAATTTGGAAATCGGAGACCATTGAAGACTCCAAGGACAGTTAAAATCTTGTTATTGATGATCGGATAATTTTAGGACTACTTAGATAAAAAGTGATTTTATAGCGGTTGATATAAGTTAACTTAATGAATTTTGAAAATAATAGACACCTCTAAAATTACACCTTACCAAATTATTCAATTGATAAGTAACAAATGTTATTTAATTAATGTCTAAAATGTCTACGAAAGACCGCTTGGGTATTCCGATTTCATCTTCCTGAACTTACCCGAACACAATGCATGTGGATTCATTTCAAAGTAGTAACGTTCACATTATCCTTGACGCATCATACAATAATGTATTTATCTTTTTCCATTAAAACTGAAATTATAATTATTATCCATATTTATTTCAGGTGGGAATGTTCCGTTTGATCCGACGACAACGCGGTTTTGTTTCAACCATGAAATGTGTGGTGCTGTTTCTATGAACTTGTCTATAGTCCTTTTACTATCACTTCAACTTTTATACCTTATTTTATGATGAAATATTATTAAAAAAAACATGTGTTTTTAAGACTAAACAGTAGCATAAGAATGCAGAATCAAACACCGGATACAAAAATGAAAGAAAATAACAATCAAGGAATCTACAGAACTTGGAATACTGTGTGTACTATAAAACATGTTTATAGAAATATTTTAGTGTCATATGTATATAATTATGTTCATTATGCTAGTATGAGAGAGACAATTTCTGATTATAATTATTGTTTTGTGTAATGTGATATAAAAGTATCAGTAAAACTGTCTCTGTAGTTGTATGAAGCTGTAGATAATTTCAGAAATAACAGTTTAAAATGTGTGAGATTTCGATCGTTAGATATTTGATAAAATCAATGTGTTAGACACGACCTGTATCAACATGTTGATGTGCCGTGTAGCAAATGTTTTACATAGGTGAATTTGTTACACTCCGTATAGTTGCTCCTTGAACACGACTTATGTGTTAATGTCTTATACACGACGGTTAATGTGTTGTTCACCACAGTTTATGTGTTTTATACGACAGTTAATGTGTTAAACACGACAGTTAATGTGTAATACACGACAGTTAATGTCTTATACACGACAGTTAATGTCCTAAACACGACAGCTAATGTGTTATACACGACAAAATAAAAAAATCTCAAAAGATTTTTTCTTTTTATATAACCGCCAACTTCACGCCGCCAGGCCGCTGGACCACCAACTTCACACATCTGATAAAAGTAGTGATTCTACTACATTTGTATTATCAATAAGATTGTCTAAACCGCGGTATTGTCATGTAAAATGTGTTCTGATATTTGATTCAATCTCCGTCATTTGCAAAAAGTGTAAATTATACGATTACACATGTGTCAAATTCTCTTTCTATTAAAAGAGCATCGAAACACGAGGCTATCTGATTTGTACGAGGGTAGCCCCGAGTATTAGTGTTTTGATGTTCTTTCTGTCAAAAATAAAAACACATTCCCTGTTGTCACAATATGACACCCCGGGAAAAAGTAACCAAATGAACGAGAATCTGAATCCCTTTCTCTTTCTCTTCCGTCACATTAAGTAAACCCCAGCAAAAATGAGCCAATCAATGGGCATGCTCTGGAGTGCGGGTAACTTATACCTGCACTCAAGTTAACGCACTGTGCATGTATACGATTTAACTTTGACACATTTTCAACAGAAAGGTCCCAAACTATGACATGTGATACAAAGCAACTTAAACGTAGTGTGCAGAAGTATGTACTATGTAAATTGTATCATAGTTTGGGGACCTTTCTGTTGACAAAGTGTCAGAGTTAAATCGTATACATGCACAGTGCGGTAACTGGAGTGCAGGTATCAGTTACCCGCAGTCCAGATCATGCCCGTGGATTGGTTCATTTTTACTGGGGTTTACATATTGTGACGGCAGAGAAAGGGAAAGGGGCAGAAATATCATATTCAAATGCTCGTTCTTGGTTAATTTTTTCTAGGGTTTCATATTATGACAACAGGGAACGTGCTGTCATATTTGACTATGATACAAAAGAGAAAGAACACCAAACACTCGGCAATCTGATTTATACTCGGGGGCTACGCCCCTTCGTACAAATCAGATAGCCTCGTGTTTCGGTGCTCTTTCTATTACTTGTACAACCCTCTTTTACTATCTGATATCAATATAAACAGTAGCAGATATTTTCGGAGATTGGCGACATAACATAAATTGTGAAATAAAAACCGAAAGAGAACAATGTATCCTGAGGATTCTGAGATTTTGGTTCAAAGGCACTCACGGGTGCGCATAAACCATTTATTAACTACATGTATAAAAATACGACTCATACAAGTTATTTAAACCCCCTTTCCCCCAATCGAGAAATCATTTTAAAAACCGTTAAAATAACATTTTTTAAAAAAATTAAAAAATCAAATTTCTGAAAATGAACCCCCGTCATCCTGGATAGAAAGGGGTGAGTTTGGTAAAATATTAATAATAGATTTAATTTCAAATTCAAATTTATTTATTTTCCCTCCCCCCAAACAGTCTTGCCCTTTTTCATAAATGTCCCACTTTTCCCTCCATGTTTTTAAAAATCCCGGTTTTTTGAGGAATAATATTTTTTTAAATTTAAAAATTTTTATATGTGGAACAAGTAACATTTAGAATATTGCAAGGTTTCAAGTCATTTTAGCCTGATAAACTTTTAGCTCAACTATTCGAAAAATAGTGGTGGTATCCTTCTCAGGTCCACTTTTGGTTAAATATTTGGGGGCAGCTTCCAGCATGTTAAGCATCGAATTTTTAGGAAATGTAAAGCAAAGGTTTTTGAAGTATTGTGGGCCCTTTGAAAAACCCAAATTAAATTTTTTTTTTCCCGTCTTAACCCTGCTTTCGGCCCCCTATAAATTTTAAAATTGTAGTTGAATTGTTTGTTTTACCCCAAGGGAAAATTTTTTGTATTGGGGATGAAGTTTAAAATTATTTTATATGTTTTGCTGATAAACTGTTTTGTTTTTCCCAAAACGAAAAGAAATTAACAAATTTATTACCCAAAAAAGCCGGTAAGACCAACCCACATGAAAACTAGAAAAGCAAAATTAAGTTCAAGGGAAACCCCCCGAACTCCCGGCGGGAAAATAAAATAAAAATGCAAAAACAAACACCCTTTCCCGGATATCTTCAAACTGTTACACAATATAAAATTTTAAAGTTTTGTTTTATGAAATTTTTTTTCTTTGGGCCCCAGTCACAGAGTGCATATCCGTTTGCCAATGAAACAAACGTAAACTATCAAAGACACACCACATACTCCTACTAGACCAACGACCAAACCACAAATGCTGTAACAGCTTCGAAGGGTGAAACTCAGCTTGTTAGGGTCCTCCGTGGCCGAGTGGTTAAGGTCGCTGAATTGAGATCACCGTTTGAGGTCCCTCATCGCTGTAGGTTCGATCCTCACTCGGGTCGAAATCTTTCATGTGAGGAAGCCATCCAGCTGGCTTAAGGAAGGTCAGTTGTTCTACCCAGGTGTCCGCTCGTGCCTTAAATAATGCCCGGAGGGCACCTGGGGTCTTCCTCCACCAATAAAAGCTGAAAAAAAACAACGAAAAACTCTCGGCGGGGCGCTCTAGGATGGCCCGACTTGAGTGTACGGTCGCCCATATGTGCTTACCTTCAATAAACGCATTAAAAAAACTCAGCTTATTACACCGGAATCTGAAATTGTTGTTTCCAGAAATTTAATACCTACCCTTGAGAATGATACCCATAAAAGTGCACGGGGCTGTGCACTCTCGTCTTAAAACGCTCGAGCTCAAAAACATCATGACATTGTCCAAGTGTGACTCGTCAGATACAGATAATATACGAGGGTTGATCAATATATTCGTGGACACGCTCCATAAATTGTTTTTTTGGGGAAGGAAAGTAAATATAATTATATTTGACATTTATTCAATCATTTTGATGTGTAAATTTCAGATAAATAATCCGAATATTTTATCCAAAATGACAGTTTTCAAAAATACATGTAAAGCTGGTCGCCGCAGCTCATTCGTAACTTACGTTACGTCGGCGAAACATCTTCTCAAATAATGCCGCACCAACTTCTGCCAATCATTCATGCCTGTGTACCCACTGACTGAAAATGTACTTAGATCTAGGAATACCCAATGTTCCGTTAACGACGTTGACTTCTTACAGTATGTCCGCCGCCGAACTGAGCGGTTTTTCTATAACTGAGGTAAAATTAGTGAAACAGAAAACAATGAATAACTGCATACGACTGCAAAGACATTACTCTTCATTCCTCATCAAGATTACTTCCACGAAATTGTTTACTTTTCAAGATCATTTGTGAAAATGATGACTTGACTACCATTTTGAGCAAGATTTTGGCTTTGTGTCGACTCTTTTAAGTACAACAGTGCATATTATACAGTATAATTTCGATATAAGGTAGGCAAGTGACATTAACTAAAATTCTGGCGATATAGAAAATTGAAATTAATAAGCTGATGAAATGGGATTCAAGTCGGTTTTTTAGTTTTTTTTAGGTATACCGCCGATGAACGCGAATAGTGCTTCGCGGTAACGCCGAAAAATGTGATTTTTCATATATAGTACTGAACTGTTACACAGGTTTAACGCCATAAATCGGCGAGAATCAGCAGTTTTCAAGTATATTTTTTGTGGGGAAACTTTAATTCATTTTATACAGATTTTATTTTAGTTTGATTGCGTAAAAAAAGACACAGCCTCGAATCCGTCCCTGAAACCACAGAGCTATAAGTTTCATAATAGAAGTTTTTGTTGAAGCGAATCCGAAGCAATGCCTGAAAAATTTCTGACTCAAGGAAACAACTACGGAATGCCGTTAGGGCCATCGCCTATGAATGTGTTGATCTAAAACGCGATAAACGATAGTACGATGGTGAAAACGCGAAATCACGAAACTACGATGGTGAAAACGCGAAAGCACGATGATGAAAACGCGATAGTACGATGATGAAAACGCGACAGTACGATACTACGATGATGAAAACGCGATAAACTATCGTGTTTTCACCATCGCACTGTCGCGTTTTCACCATCGTAGTTTCGTGATTTCGCGTTTTCATCATCGCACTGTCGAGTATCGCGTTTCAGATCAAACCATTCATAGGCGATGGCCCTAACGGCATTCCGGAATGCCGTTAGGGCCATCGCCTATGAATGTGTTAATCTGAAACGCGATAGTCGATAGTACGATGGTGAAAACACGAAATCACGAAACTACGATGGTGAAAACGCGATAGTACGATGATGAAAACGCGATAGTACGATGATGAAAACGCGATAGTACGATGATGAAAACACGACAGTACGATGGTGAAAACGCGATACTACGATGATGAAAACACGACAGTACAATGATGAAAACGCGATAGTACGATGGTGAAAACGCGATAGTACGATGGTGAAAACGCGATAGTACGATGATGAAAACACGACAGTACGATGATGAAAACGCGAAATCACGAAACTACGATGGTGAAAACGCGACAGTACGATGGTGAAAACACGATAGTTTATCGCGTTTTCATCATCGTAGTATCGTACTGTCGCGTTTTCATCATCGTACTTTCGCGTTTTCATCATCGTGCTTTCGCGTTTTCACCATCGTAGTTTCGTGATTTCGCGTTTTCACCATCGTACTATCGACTATCGCGTTTCAGATCAACACATTCATAGGCAATGGCCCTAACGGCATTCCGTAAACAACGGGATAGCAACGGCATAGCAATTTCTCAATACCTATTGAGATGGTAGTTATGAAAATGGGCTTTGTTAAATTATAGAATTTTTCATTGTTCTTTCTTTTAGACCTTCGTTGCATTGATAGATGAAATATTCCATAAAAACATCTCTAGTATCTCTCCATATACATATTCATCAAGTAAGTAACCAAAATATATTCAACATATCTTTAGTTTCCTGGTGAATTTATGAAATGGATTTGATCAGCTGTGAATGTGGAACAGTTCATTCAAAGTCTTTGAGATTGCTTTTACATATTTAGTGTATTTGTACAAATGTCCTACCTGAGTGAGTAAATGGTCACTCTGTATGGATGTGACCTGGCTCTGTACTGGTGGCCTATTTTATGGTCATTAGTCCCGTTAGTTTG